CCGCGAGCGGGAGAAGATCATTACACAGGACATACCCGTGCGGGTCCTGCATCCGGATACCGTCGAGACTATAATGCAGCCCAAAGTTCGCGAGCCCGATGTACACATTCAACTGCCCCCCCTCCTCCAACTCAAAGCCATATCAGACCGATTTACCAAACTCGCCCTCGCGTCCCGTGCCTCCACTTCCTCCTCCTCCGCCGCGTCCCCGAAACTAGAGCTTAGCGCGAATATGCACGGAGCCCTAAGATTAAGGCTGGATACGGATACCCTCGATGTCGAGAGCCGGTGGAGCGGCCTTGAGAACCCGGAGCTGGATCCGGCGCAGCTGCCCTGCGCGCTTGAGGACCATCCCAGCACCAAATTCCGCGAAGCTGGGCCTGATAAATGGGCTACGGTGCGCGTTGACGGGAAGGATTGGAGTAAGGTGCTGAGTGTGGGACGGCTTGAAGGGAGGGTTATTGCGTGTTTTGCGGATGACCATGCGTTGATTATGTATGTGTATGTCCCGCAGTATGATGATACGGGGGCGGAGGACTCGGTTGTTACTGTAAGTTTATGTAGCTTTTCGCTGGTTGGAGTGAGTAACTATTTGCTAATTCGTTGCAGTATTACGTGTCTTCGTACAGTTTATGATGGTGTCAAGGGAGCGATAAGTACGGAATGATACAGGACCTCGGAAAAGTGTCTAAATTTGGCAAGTTGGTGTTTAGGAACCTATATTGCAGATGATCACGCCTAGCTTTATAGCTTACATTGGCTCTCAGGTTGCGGAGTTGCTGGATATACCACTGACAGTAATAAAGTAAGAAACTCAGGTCGAAGATATGGACTAAAAAAATATGAATCGAGTATGGAAGTGTGCTTCGACCGAGTAAAAGTTAGCCGATCTCTGTTTCTGACTATATCAAGCCATCTTAAGCAACTTGATTCGTATTTGAATCAACGGACATGAAATACCTGGACCCACCGCAATCCAACCCCTTTTTGTAGAGAAGTATCACATATAGTTATTATTTAACATATATAGTGCAGATCTAAGACCTCCGGATAGGTATGTCGTTATTGTTGTACATAGAGTTATACGGATTAGCACTCCTAACCTATAACTTAAGCACAAGCCAATTCTCCCCTTCCATCTCTTTCACGATCCGCCCCAGCAACCCCCGTACAGGTCCCTGCATCTCATTGCCACGGTACCAGCGCTTCGGCCCCGCATACGCCTCGATGAAGCCATCCGGTCCAGACACGCATATGAGGTTCGCTCCCACCTTTGTCTCCGTAGGTACATTTTTCTTCCCTTGGACACAGGCGCAGGGCAGGGCGTGGCGGTTGGCATCGTTGTCATCTGGTAAGCTCTCATGAATCGCTGCCGAGTGCCAGGGACAGAGCCGGGCGGCGGGGAGTAGTGGTACTTTGGGTGCTTCTCCTAGAGCGGAGATTAGGTCCCGCGATTTGATGAAAGTTCCTTCCTCGTCGACGAAGTAGGAGATTTGGAAGTGGTTGGGGTGCTTTTGCTGCATTTCACGGATCTGGCGGGCGAGGGATGACTCTTCAGGCTGCATTTGTTCTTCCTTTGCATTTGATGGGGATTTTCTACCCAGCAGACTCGAAAACCATGATCCCTTTCCGGTACTAGAAAACTGAGGCTGCTGGCGCCCTAGAGCATCAGCAGCCCGCCGATTCGCCCATAGGATCGATATAGTAGGCTTCTCCCCCCGCTTCTCCCTCTGCCCATCATCTTCCAAAAGCCGTCGCGCAACCTGCAGCGCAGGCGCAATCCCCGTGCCTCCAGCAACGAACACCACATCCTCCGCATCGCCTAACCGTCTCTCGACATCGAACCCGAGATGCGGGCCCCTGAGCCACACCTGATCGCCCACGCCCAGCTTGCTCAGATACGTCGACATCTCGCCGCCATCCAACTTGCGGACCAGGAACCGCAGCTCCTCATTCCCATTCTCACCACCATTACCCTCGGTGCCGTCTTTAGAAGGAGATGAAGGCAACGGCGTATACCGCCGCGCAATCTGCAACTGCGGCTGCTTGACCTCGACAGACCAGAGCCCATGGTCCCAGGCCTGCTTCAGCGGCTCCCAGGAGCGTCCCTTTAGAGCTTCGCCGGGGCGGATGGTGAGCACGAAGGCGGTGGGCGAGACTTGCTCCTTGGAGGTTATGGTGAAGGGGCTGAAGGATGTTTTGTTTATGACGGCGTTTTTGCTGTCGTCAGGGCTGGAGTTTGCGGATTTGAATATGAGCGCGGTTATGATTATCGCGGTTAGGCCGGCGATGTTGAAGAGGATCAGTTGGGAAAGTGAGCCTCGTTTTGGGGGGGATGAGGGGGGTTGGGGTTGAGGTTCTCCTGCTGGGACATTCTGAGACTCATTATTTCTGAGGGGCGAAAAGCTTGAGAATTGGCGTTGTGCAATAGGGGTATGAGCAACTCGAGATAAGTTCTGGTGTTGCTGCTGGCTTATTCGCGTGGCCACTCTAAGAGAAGCGGCTCGTGGGCCAGAGAGAAGGCGCGGTCTCATCCGGCCGGCCCATTTTATTGCCAAGTTACAATTCATTTGTATCGACTCATATTGGAATTATCATAGATGCGGGTTGCCTTCGAATTGTCCGCCGTTATGTTGTATCGCAGGTATTACCTAGTATGAATGTCGGGTAGTTGTTAAAAATTGATGTTCCTGCCAGCTGAGAGACGGCCCGAGTATCCACAACGCCGGGTGTGTATCTAAATGGCAGCCGTTTGTCATCGGCCTAGGTACTGTACACAATTCCATGAATTCTTCATTGGGAGTGAAATGACGGGAAAGCATTCTACGTGCGGCTCATATTGAATTTGTAGAGAATTCAGCTTTTCTTTTCACATAATCCATATCTAGAATTGATTTCATGGGGCATATCCGTAAGTTGAGAGATCGATTCTAAGTAGTTGTACATGACTTCCAGTCTACCGAGTCGGAATGGCATCTGAGTATTTCTGAATACAGTGTCTATAATCTAATGATCTCTCCCTTCTGGTTGATCGCGCCTCTAAAATGGTCAGCAATGATATTGCCGTTTACAATAGTCTCCTTGATAACACCCTCCACGTGCTTCGGCTCTATCCTGCCGTACCAAATTCCGTGGCCGGCTAGGGGGTGCGGGTTGCCAGCGCTGTTCTTGAGAGATGGCGGTAGGTAGACGATGACATTGCCGGCGTACTTGTGCCCGCCAATGTGGCTGATCTGGCCTACTCTTGCCGTACGTGGTAACTCCTCTCCTGGTGTAGTACCGGAGAGCTGTGGTGCGGTGACACCCTCGTCGACTGCTGGTCCATGAAGGACGTCAAATCCAGATCGGGGTAGCTGTCTCTCGAACTCCTCTTGAAGGATGGGTCCGTAGATGCCACATCTCTTGTCTCGCTGTCCGTGTCCGCAGATCAGGACAAGCACATCGTCGACGTCGCGCACACCATACAGCATTTGTTGATACGCCTCCTTCCGTGTTAGACGGTCCTTATGTATGGGTGACAGGCCATCATTCATGGGGTGGAGCTTCTCCGGTAGGAGGTAGCCCTTGACTAGCGCTTGTACGGAGTCGAATGATACTCGCGGGAGGAAGGGGACGTATTTGAAGCTTGGAAGGAGGTAGACTGACGTGGTCTGTATCTCTGGTCGTCTAGAGATCGCTGAGGGAAAAGAAGCGTTTATGATCGAAATGTTGTGGAAAGGCTACAAAAGTACTCACTGTTAGCTAGATTCAACATGTACCATAATATCCGGGTGTACACAGAATTGGCTAACTAATCCCTCTGGGGAAGCAAGAAGACTCACATCACTGTACATGCCTCCCCGACCAACTAACTCCTTGAGGTCCGCAGCTAGATTGTCGCCGCTGTTATCCTCTTCGATACGCGACGCCCAGTCGTCCTTGCCTGTACAGATCAGGACTTGCTGTGCGTACGCAGGGATGAGGCCATTCAAATTGGCACTCTTGTCAATTTTCGTTCCCCACGGCAGCGAGGGCGTATCCGCGCAATCGCACGTCGGCTCCGGGCATGTCGGGACCGTATTCAGACATCGTCGCGTAGTCGTTGTGAGCGGAATTAGATTGGTTCCTCTTCTAAAGGCGGCGTGCCTCCACGCTCCTCTAGCTAGCGGTCGCAAAGACATTGAGATATGAGGACAGGATCATGACCTGTTTGGGAAAGACAGGATTCAAGAAAAGCCATGTCAGCTTTGTGCCCTCCAGGATCCCTTTGCAGCGAGTTTTCTAATGCCGTGTGCGTGGTTCGCTCATTACGTCTTTTTCTCCCCCGGTTTCCCGGGTGTAACTGTGCCTAGCTCCGAGCGGTCGGAATTCCGAAATCAGGACCGTGTTGACGCACGTACCAGTATTAGTAATCGCTGTCCTCGGTATGGGCCTCGAAAATGCATCGCTCCTGTATGCGTAATGTTGTACAGACTAATTTAATAAAGTCCCGCACGCACTGTATATACCGAAACCCGCTTCAGTATGTCCGATCAGTTAGCTGTGAATATGTTTCTCAGTAACTTCTATTCGCATTACCTATGGTAGTTCCATTCGACATCATGATACCCGTATCAGTACTACAAGAGAGGACGTACCTAAGGTAGGCAGCTAGGTGGCCACAGCTATCACTCAAGCATACATTCAAGCTATTAATGTTACTTCGCTAGGAGAACTTGGCAGTTATAATACATTTGAGCGATTGAATTGCGCCTTATATCTTAGAGAACGTCAGCACTTCTTTTCCTAGGTACCCAACGTTGTTCATGCTAGAATATCATACCAAGTCGACGAGCAAACTCCCTACTCTTGTGGGCGATATAGGGGCAGATAAACTCACCCTCGGTCCTTCCCCTGAACCAGTCTACCAAAGGTGCACTTTCCTCCATCGTCGATAGTGCCTGCCACCCCTACAGACCTGCCAATGCACTCCTAATATATGCCAAAGCAATCAATCATTCTATATTCCAATGGCGGAGTTAGCTGCACTAGAGGAATGGCAACGCGCCGGCCTCCTAAGCTGGAGATTCTGGGTTTGAGTCCCAGGTGCAGTGCTGTTGCTTTTATTTCGTTCATTTCTTTTAGTTATAAGATGTTCTTATTCCAATTGCTTTATAACAAATGGGATACGAGCTCCCGTAACGCTGATATCTTTTTCTCTATCGTATTTCTCGAGGCTATCCAAGGGCCCGTATTTCTCGCACAGATACAACATGTCATTATAGGCTCTTGAAGCGCTGGTTATTAAGAGAACTTAGGATAAGGGGGTTCGATACTAACATCTTCCTCGAAATACTTCCCGGGTGGCCAGCTGAGTCGTTCAAATAGGGATGGACGCTGTAGAGCCGATTGCGATCGTCCCACTCTTCTACAGGATCCGAGGGTTTGATATGGCATTGGTAAAGCTCCATATAGACGGGCGAGTTGAAATAAGATGCCCATGTGCATCTCCAGGTTCCGAACTCCATTTCATTATGGGCGTAAACGCATCCGGGGTCAAACAATACCGTTTCGCCTGTTTCCCTATCGATCCCGATATTCTTTTCCCATAAGTCGCCGTGTATCAACGATGGTGTAATACTGCGACCTTCGGATTGCAGAGCTCCCAAAAGCCTCGGAATTACCACATCGATGAGTTGCTTGCAGGCCGCGTCGTACTCCGGCCAAGGGTCATTCGTCTCGTTATCGTATCTTATGACGTCTCTGAGCTGATGAGTGAAGGATCTTGCCCAGCTCTTTTCCCACTATAGAGTGAGAATTAATGATGACCTTGTTGAAGCAATTCGACCCTTTCATATGTTCGAGGCGCAGAGTAAATGATTAAAAGGGGTACTTACGGTTACGGTACGTTCCATCTTCCCGCATACAGTTGGAACAGAATATCCAAACATTCCATTTGGAGAAGTGCTTCGATGAAGTGCTGCTATTTTAGACATGAAGCCAGCGGGTTCCGGGGCTACGGAAAAATCCATGTCGTGGAAATCTCCTAGGAGGAAGTATACCTGTGACTCGCCGTTATGATACTCACCCCATCCAACTGCTTTCGGCACGAGGCCAGTTACAGCATCGTTGATAGTAGTTGCAGAGTGGAATTCACCCTCGGCTATTGCGCGGGCGCCTTGACCTGTCGCGCACTTAATCGTGTCAGGTTCAACCGACGAATATCGGATAATGGACTACTAGGAGACAAGTTATAACATTCTACCTTGAGAAAGTAATTCTTCGAACTTCCATCTGCTAGTACGACTGATACTTTCGCTGTCTTTGCCCACGCCGATATACCACTTGACTCAGCAGATATAAGTCTAGTGCCGCAAGGCATAACTGTGATGGTGATCGATGACTTGTCAGCGAAATCCATCAAGGCGTTTTTCATTATCTGTTCTCACTTTTCAAGACTGCCTCGTTGACGGGGAAGTTTGCCCCGGTTCCTGGCCCCCATTCGGACGAATCCGGAGACATATCTTCGTTAGCTAATTGAGAACTCAAACAAGAAACCTGGAAGGCCTAATGGGCTCAGCTCAGGGCTTTTCATAGCATAGCATTCCGTCAGGCTCGGCTCGGCCCGCAAATGTTGGTGGTTGCCAACTTAGGTGGTGCCACCAACGCTTAAGATAAAGTGTACCTACAGTACCTCGTACAGCTCGTACAACCGTTGTTGGTGACCAGCCAGTGTAGTCCCACTGTGGTACAAATAGGGATGAGGGCTCCGGCCGCATTCACAGAAGATCGGCGCGTGTACAGGGGTATAGGTTAGCGTGCGGCTGCATGCGATAGGCCTGCAGCCACCATAAGCGCTAACCCTTCGAGTTGGGTACGCCTATCGACAGCAATAATTATGCCTTGCTGCGTTGGCACCACTTGCATTCCCTTGCAAATATCGTACCATGAATTGTACTAGGCTGTGACATCTGTTGAAAAGCCTCTCCTTTCTTTACTTGCCTTCGTACCTTATATATATATATATATATTTGGGATAGCTAGGTAATTATAAAGGCTTGATAGCTTGTTAGGCGACATGCTTGCATATAATGGTCAGTTATCACTTTTGCTCCCAAGACTCTGAGCGTACCTAACACTTTCTCAGTTTCGAAGATTATCCAAGTTTAGAAGGAAAGATCGCGATGAGGGTCGCAAGTCACAGTTCGATCGCGTATTATCTGATTCCCAGAATTCCAACTCGAGCCCCTCTGTTGTCTCGGGATTAATCCATGAGAATGACGTTGACTCTACAGCGGGCGCTGAATTATTACAGTCCGCGGTAGTTAGTAACAACGTTCAGTTTCGAAAAAATAGTGAGATTGAGGCCGGGCTTCTTGGCCTAACTGTTGTATATACCCCTGAAAATGCTCGCAAGGTCGATATCGTCTTCATCCATGGGCTTGGGGGGACTAGTCGCTGGACATGGTCGAAGAATAGAGACCCGGAGTTATTCTGGCCGTTGAAATTTCTACCCCTGGAGCCTGACATTCGCCTGGCTCGAATATTGACCTTTGGCTATAATGCCCATTTTCGCAGAGCAGGAAAAATCAGCACATCAATCCTGGACTTCGCCAAAGATCTATTATTTGATCTAAAACATGCAAAAGATGATCGGAAGGAAGATTTGGATACGGGGAGCGTTAGTATTATTCAAGTACTATGGCCTCCCATGTACCTAACTTCGACACTAGGTCCCGCTCGTTTTCGTTGCCCACAGCATGGGAGGACTCATAGTCAAGGAGGTACGAGTACTTACTAGGCACTTTCAGATGTCTATACTTATGGTTGAAAGGCATATATGCAAGGTCAGAACGATCCGCAGTACGAATCTATCATCAAAGCCATTTCCGGGATCATCTTCCTCGCTACGCCACATCGTGGCACACACCTTGCGGAAACATTGAACCGGATTTTGCAGTCAACCATGATCACCAATCCAAAGCAGTACATCTCTGAGCTCGCGAAGAATTCACTCACATTACAGAGGCTGAACGAGCAATTCCGCCACATCGCGCCTCGACTAGAAATTGTTTCATTTTATGAGACTCGGGCTACTTCAATAATTAAAAACATTGGGATTGTAAGCAGATTTCATCTATCATCCATCTACTTGCTAACTTCTCTTTAGATGATACTGGAGAAGGACTCTTCCGTACTTGGATATCCTGGAGAGACCTCGAAGGCACTGGATGCGGACCACCATGGAGTTTGCAAATACGACAGCCCCAACGACCCGAACTATATTGCTGTGAGAAATGCCCTCATGTCACTCCTTAAAAAAGTCACTTCACCAAGCAGTTGGAAGGGACCAACCCTGTCAAGTCGAAAGGAACCACATAGTCTGAAACCTTTGTTGACTATTACGGAAGGTCCCACCATTGATTATAGCTTTTTCCGGGATCAATGGGCACATGGAACCTGCGAATGGATTCTCCAGGATGAGATGTTTGTCGAATGGCTCCAGACACCCGACACGATGTCTTCTCTCTTATGGTTGAATGGTAAGGCCGGGACCGGGAAGTCAGTACTGGCTTCATTCATCATTAACAACCTTGCGAAACGAGGTTGTCGATGTCAATATTTCTTTATAAGGTTCGGCGACCAAAAGAAGCGGGCTCTGAGTTCACTTTTACGCTCAATTGCCCACCAAATAGCCCAAGTCATCCCAGACTTTTCGCAGAAGCTCCTCGAAGTTATCGATGAAGGTATCGATTATGAAACTGCCGATCACCGGACGATTTGGGAACGCATCTTCAAGTCCATTCTCTTTACTATTGAGGAGCGAAGCCCGCTGTACTGGATCGTAGATGGCGTAGATGAGGCACATGATCCTCGAGCGACCATGAGGTTACTCTCCGATATCCCTTACTCCTGCATTCCACTCCGGATTTTAATCGTAAGCCGCCGGTCCTCGGAGATTGGCTCTGCTTTTCAAAAACTTCCAAGTACGCTAAACCCAAGGATGATAAGCATCGAGGGTCATCTTGAAGATTTACAGTGCTATGTTCGTCAAGAACTTAGCATGCCTGGAAGCTCTGAATTCAAAGAAGATATTGTCAAACGAGTAGTGGAGGGATCTCAGAATAATTTTCTCGTGAGTTCTATAATTTTAGAATACGTCTACGCTTTTCTTCATGAGGAGGCTAATTTTACAGTGGGTTCGACTTGCTGTTGACAAGTTGAATATGTGCCATAGACTCGCTGATGTCGAGGCCGCACTCCAAGAACTGCCAACTGGTATGGAAGCGCTCTATGATCGAATGGCGGCGTCCGTTGCTCAAAACCAGTTATCAACGAACAGAAATCTAGCATTGAGCATTTTACAATGCGTCACTTGCTCATTGCGTGACTTAAAGGTTACAGAGCTATCCCAAGCAATGGATGAGGACATTTCTGACTTCCTAGATCTTGAACGGTCGATTGTGGACCTATGTGGCGGCTTCGTGGTCATTGATAACGGTGGAAATGTTACAATGATACATCACACCGCTCGCGAATACTTGCTGAGCGACAACAACCCCTTTCATGTCGACCCGAGTAATGCACACGGACGTATGTTCCTAAACTGCATGAAGTGTCTCATGGCTGTCGGCCTCCGAGCGAAAGCAAATAGGAACCAAAAGCCCGGGTTCGTTGATTATGCTTCAAACTGGTGGTCATCGCATTTGACATTGTCCTCACCCGACTGTGAACAGATCGGCGAAGTCCTCAAAAGGTTTTTGACTAGTCACTATGTGTTGACGTGGATACACATCCTTGCGGGCAATAATCAGCAGCGAGTACTCATTCAAGCTTCACAGGACCTATCGAATTACTGTCTTGAACGACAAGTATGGAACGAAAAGTCTAAAGATAACCCCAACCATACCATGGAACAGGACCTTATTGAAAGTTGGTCTACAGATTTTGTGAAGTTAGTGGGAAAGTTTGGCAAGGCTCTGCGGCGAAATCCCGAAGCGATATACAAACTCATCCCCCCTTTCTGCCCTCAGAACTCTTCGATATACCGGATTTTTGGGAAAGGAGAGGCGAAGAGCATTGCGATTTCAGGCGTATCCACCGAGAACTGGGA